CTGTAGGAGGCGCCATTGACGTTTCCATGGAGGGTATGAAGAGGAGTTTTTCCACCATGATGAATAGCTGCCCATACATGTACTGCACCACCTTCTGTGTGTTCCCTGTGGGAAAGACACTCTTCCTTCATCTGTTCTCCAGATAAACGACGAACACAAATCTTACCATCGACCTTAACAAGCTGGAAATAGGACTCATCTGAAAAAAAAAACATTTCGCCATTATCCTAATTGTAAGTAGGTATTCTGTCTTGCCCAAGTAACACGATAATGGCGGTGAATTCTTGTTAATATCGGTTTGCAGGTAGTCCTTCTTGCAAAATAACTTTGTTTGGTCGCTCTCCTATTTACTAGTGTTCTGTATACCCTGGAATGAATGTGTTCATGCCATTCCTGCCGTAACGTGTTGCAAGACTTCTTTCGACTTTGACTTGTTAACCTGATCAAAACACGGTCATCTCGGGCAATAGTTTTTCGGTGTCTACCAGTAGACCTTCCTGGAACAACGTTTCCTGTAGTCCGATAAAATTTCAGGATTCTGGATACATTACACTGGGGTACCCTACTATTCTGGCAATGTCCGTTTGCTTCATACTATTTCTGAACAGTCGAACAATTTGACGCCCTATAACTTCTGGCACGTGACGAGGCATGACTCTATACCAAATATAGAGAAATTGTCTGAACAAAGCGTTGATCTGTTTCGAAAATATTACATCTAAAGCACACCGTTTTATACAAAACAAGTGTGTATCTGTGTTTTGACGAACAAATGTTCAAAAGAATTTATACAAACCAGAATAACAACTCGTACATGTTTGTCCGATCATACGCCACCTTCTCTGTTACCACTCGGGTATTTACTTAATAACTACTCCATATATGTAGACAATAACATCAGTATAGAACAGAAAGCAAACATTTTGGCCAATACTATATATATATATATATATGTGTATATATAATACATAAATTTCAGAAAGTGTATAAAAATGCTTAAACATAAATAGTTGATTTATATGAAGCTTATATAAATATTATCAGTTGTATTCATCTTTATTTACTACTTTCATTAGCGTGATCTTATATATTAAAATGTTAGTCTCCACGATAACTTCAACTGAGTACTTGTTGATATACAGAAATTTAGAAAATAGACGCAAGACTGTTTTTACAGCAATATAAAATATTCTAAAATATTTTGAGATACAGTCATTTTTAACTATTTATACATAGGTTGAGTACGTTATATTAAAACGATTTTGGAGCCTCACCACGTAATTAAAGTCCATCTCGCCACGTCCGATGATGTCCTAACGACTGTGAATCTAGACAACAGCCCTGCAGCGTAGTTGCCATTGCAAGTTGCTCCGTTACAAAGCCTCAACTGCAACTCATACACCAGATGGAATAACATAGATAACCATTCCATTCTCTAGCTGCTTGAGACATGGTACAGTTGAAATGATGTGTCATGTAAATAGCTTGTGTACACGTGACTTGAGTTGATTTTCCAGACGGATATGCTTCTTGCCTACGTTATGTTCTGTTGCCTGGGCTACGTGGACGGCTTTTACCATTGACATTTGTGTTCGTGGATTCTCACTTGTTACAAATTGGCGCACTTTGCCTACCATGTTTGAGGTACAACTTGTTGCAGGTCTTTTTCCTGGATGTTCCTGGTGTCCAATTTGTTCCATCTTCCTTTGTTCTTCAATACCATTAAGTATAAGGGATATATCCGTCTTGAAATTCTAAATCACCAATCCAAACACATCTTTATGATCTGAGTATATGAATATTTGGAATAAGAAAGGAATATTACATATCCTTCCCAAAAGCGGTGAATTTTTGATGGCATAACACTAAGAAAACATCCAATAATGTCAAAATGTAATTCTGATACATTCTGTTCCGCCATGACGTTATATCGGCTGTGGTTATAACTTGACCTGCCGATTTGAATATTTAAAATCGTTTTAACATAATGTATTCAACCTTGTACCAGTGCACAAAGAATTCCAAATGATACATAAAATATAATACAAAATGTATTATATGCCTTATCATATTTTTTTAAGAAAGAATTTTACTTTATTATGTCCACAGAACTTTGGTTAATTCAGAATATAATTTATTGTGCTTTTAGTGACTTAAAATACAGAATATCTTTACAATGTCTACAAAACTTTATTTAATGCACCAAATATGTAGTCTTCTTCAGTCAACAGTAATGACTTTTGCATGCGTCTTCACACTATCTCAGTTATTTCAGTAAGGCAAAAACCTATCTTTATAGTAACTCTAGAATTTAATTGAATACACAACCAATCTTTATAGTATCTCTAGAATTTAATTGAATACACAACCAATCTTTATAGTGTCTCTAGAATTTAATTGAATACACAACCAATCTTTATAGTATCTCTAGAATTTAATTGAATACACAACCAATATTTGTAGTATCTCTAGAATTTAATTGAATACACAACCAATCTTTATAGTATCTCTAGAATTTAATTGAATACACAACCAATCTTTATAGTATCTCTAGAATTTAATTGAATACACAACCAATATTTGTAGTATCTCTAGAAGTGAACACAACCAATTTCTATAGTATCTCTAAAACTACAGTGAACACACAACCAATTTCTATAGTATCTCTAAAACTACAATGAACACACAACCAATCTTCATAGTATCTCTAGAAGTGAACACACAGCCAATCTTTATAGTATCTCTAAAACTTCAATAGAATCTCTAGAACTTCAGTAAACATATAATCTACTTTGAACGTATTTCCAAAACATCAGTAAACACACGGGGCATCTATTAGTGTTTCTAGTGCTGTAGTAAACAAGTGTATCAGATTGCTACAGTTAAAGGCTTACCTGCCTGTTAAAGCTCATCTGGATATGCTTCAAATTACTACAATAAAAAAATTCCAGTTGCCTAATAACAACTCGCCCACACGTGCTACAGTGAAAAGGTTTGTAGCCTTGTCTCTAACTCTTGAAACACAGTAGAGTTTCTCTGTATGAAAAACAGAGAGTCGTTTTGCAAAATGAAACCTTAGTAATCACCAATATGAATACCAAACATCAAGGCGTAGGTTTTAGGCAGTATGTGGCTAGAGCTGGGGTAAATTGGGAAACATTATAAATGTTAATTTAAAACGTTTCTGTTGCCCGGAAAATGAACTATTTTGGACGTAACAAGTAATTATGTTTAACTATTCTGCTTTAGTCACAAATAGAAATCACATCAACACCATCTGAAGTAAGAAAAATGTTCTGCATGAAGTAAAGGTCCGCAATTAAAAACATATTATCCATAAACAGTGACATCACTGCCAACCGTTTCGTTTCTTAATTAATGAAACCATTGTGGAAACCACTAGTGTCCTTTCTTTCGAAGCAATATTTTCCTTATTAAACCAAAAGTCATTTTCTCCCTACTCTGGATATTATTTGAAAATCAGAATGGATACATAAAAGAAGGTATTAATGTAAAGTTCGATGAAAATATGCTACTTTTCATACAATCATTATAAAAATAGGAAGAAGAATTTGTTTTTATATTTGAGAGTATAGCGTCCAGTTATATATTTTTGGCAAGTTTTTGCACAAACTGACAAATGCTTTCCTGCTTTTCGTGATTTTTTTTTTTTAGATTAAAAAATTTCATAGGAGTTTTTTTCATTCTAATAGATATTGACACTTGTTTGTTGAATGAAGTTTTCACTTTTCGCCCATCTCAGGCTCAATAAGTTGATCATATTTTGAGATGCAGTGATGTAGCTAGTTGATTGTTCAGCTTAGGTTGTAGGTTACGAATTAGCAGTGCTTCCTTTTTTCTTAGCGTCAATTAATCTTTCGCTGAGTCTATTATTATGAAGTGTTCCTGTTCGGTTTTTCGACTCGAATCTTAGCCACCAGAATCAAAGAGAATGCGCATAACAGACCATTCAATAACTCTAGAATTTACAACCACCTAAACAAGGACTCTAACGAAACAGCTCCCAGTGATAACACTAAAATTAAATTTAGCCAGTTTAACAGCTCCCAGTGATAGCACTAAAATTAAACTTAGCCAGTTTAACAGCTCCCAGTGACCACACTGAAATTAAACTTAGTCAGTTTAACAGCTCCCAGTGATCACACTGAAATTAAACTTAGCCAGTTTAACAGTTCCGTCAAAATTATAAAAAGTAGCCATGAACTTCATCAAGTTTTGTCGCTTGGAACTTGTTTTACATTTTAGTTTTAGGTTAAGCGCATTTATTTTGAATTATACTAAAAACGATATATTTAGAGACTTTGGGATTTATGACAACCCACAATAAAAACCTACCCATACATACAAATGTCATATACTTGACATTAAATATCCAACATCTTATCTTCAACATATCTTATTAAACATTCCCGTATGATAACAAATGAAGTTTAACCTTTTCAACGTGGAAGGTAAAGTAGTACCTAACGTGAATATAAAGTGTATGCCTCTGTATACAACTAAGACATTAGGGAATAATGAGCCTCATTTGAGAGATTTGCAATTAAAGTATCAAATCTATTTTCTTTATTATGGCATTCGTTATTGAAAGAGGAACATGAAATTTATTAGGTTTCGCAGTGAAACTTGCTTTTAATGTACAATACATTTTAAAACTTGTCATCATCTCTCAGTTTGCTCTTCTTTAACATGATACAGAGTAATTGATATATACCTTAATATTTTCAAGCAACACGCGTGATATTGACCTAAACAAAAAACTATATTCTCATTACGAATAGTACATGAGATAAAAATTGTTCTCTTACGTATTCTAAGAATATCCAAAATGTGTTTCGAAACTTGGAACCCTTGATTCTAACTATTCCTGTTTCAAAGCAATATAAAGGTCAGTTTGTGTAATAGGTTCAGTAATCTAACCTCTGAGATTTTAACTAAAAACCAATAATTTTTCTACTCATTTATAACGTAATGGAAGGTTAATGTGAAAACGCCAGTGAATCTTCAAAAAATGTCTTACCTTTACAAATATCGTTATCTGTATCATTAGTGTTACAACCTCTTTTCCAACCTAAACCATCATTACTAGAAGGAGATCCAGGAGACGCTGTGGTGGGTGTTGATTCAGCTGAGAACGTCTGTGTTGCATTTCCAGTTGTATGCCGGAAATAATTGGCCCATAAGGTCTTCCCAGCGTCCTTTTTCAACCGTTTCTCTTTGGCTCGCCGGTTTTGAAACCACACCTGTACTACCCTCATGTCCAGTCCAGTGTCCTGGCTCAGCTGCTCTCTGATGTGACGGGCAGGTTTGGCACTGCGTTTGTAGGCTTTCTTTAACGTCTCCAGCTGCTTAGCAGTGATCGTAGTTCGGGGTCTTTTGCTGGCCACGTCTGCATTACAAAATGTTTTTTTTTTATAATACATCATTATTTTTATATAATGCAAAAAAGATAAGTCTCATAAGTCAAGAATCTAAACAACTAATCCCCAAAATAAAGTTATTTTTATTGAATATCACCGTTTTTATACAACTCATAAATACAATAAACCAATAAATTTGATCTATATTCAGCCTACTAATTTAGTATAAATTTTATTGTACTGATTAATTACATTACAAACAAGCTATCTGAATAATATAACCATCTTTTCACTTCTTGTAACACGAGAGATTAACAATTGCACGTAAGTACCACATTGTCAGATTTTAATGCTCAATATCTAGGCTGCTTACGCATCGTGTTTGACTTAATGCTTTCACTGTCTTATGTTGCGCAATCTCTGGCCATCACTTCTTTTGACAGTCTGGTCAGCACTCCTCCTAGCAGTCTGATCGGCACTCCTATTCACATTTTGGTCAGCACTCCTACTAGCAGTCTGATCGGCACTCCTATTGACATTTTGGTCAGCACTCCTACTAGCAGTCTGATCGGCACTCCTATTGACATTTTGGTCAGCACTCCTACTAGCAGTCTGATCGGCACTCCTATT